TACCAACAAACATTGGAATCGGTAAAATACCTGATGTCGCTGAAGTACGAGTACGTCTCTTTCGCCGCTGTGTAGGCATTTCCTAGCTTGTTCATTCGGTCCGTTGCGCCGTCTAGCGAGTCTTTCGTCCTGGTTAATTGTCCATTATCTTCATTGTACTTTAGTGTGACGCTGTTAATGGTAACTGCGAGCTTGGCAATCACTTGATCCACGCTTACCGGCGTGTTGTTGCTGAGTTGGGGGATGTCTAACCTGGCTTCCTGCCGCATGAGATGTGCTGTAGATCTGTGTAGTGGGTGATGCAATACGCATGTCAATATGTCTCACAGACACCAAGGTGTAGCGTATACCACACGTCAAAGATGCGTATGTAGCACAATCAACAAGTGTAGTGTATATCTTACACAAAGGGTTTATGCGCGTATTTGTACTGCGTCACCCCTAAAACCCTAAATATCGTTTTTTTGTCTGTATCTACCTCCGACAACGCTACGAGTTTATAAGTATCAATGAGTTCTCGCGCTTTAAAACCCTGCAGCACTGTGCAAACACAGCCAGGCTAGGATAGGAATATACGTCTCTCTAGCAAAGGTACGAAATAAGGTGTGCCGGGTGTAGCCACTACACGTACCGTATAGCAGGTCGTGAGTCTCTCACTGGATATGTAATGTTTCCTTCATGTTATTCAAACGGTAGACAGCATACGCTTGTCTGCCTACAGTGTCCATGATTTATATACTCATCATCTCTGCCAAAGGCTTATATACATATATGCTCTACACACGCTCTTCCCCTGTAGGACACGAGGACTATATGGACCACACTGCACTTTGTAGGAATCTATGCCATTGAATAATAATAAAATAAATAGGCCGTGGAGGATGGAGTCATTCTAAAAATAGGTTTACCATACAGTCTCCGGATTCGCCGGATATACACACAATATCAGTGCGGGATTGTATACTCTTTGCAGGATGACTAATCCTACCCTAAACGATACACAGCTACCTACTACAAGTCTTAAACCAAGTTATAATGCGGACATACAACAGAAGGAACCGCCACAAAAAATCCTCATCTAGAAGGTAATGGCCTACTCATCTACGTTTGTACATGTTTTAGTATCAGCCAATACTAACCGTACACCACATACATCGTTTCCGATGATCCCATTGATTGAGAGGATACTCCCCATCCATTGGGGCCTTTCGATTGGCCGGCGCCCTTGCGCATTTGCTCGCGCTCCCATCGGGCGATTTCGTCATCCTCCGAATCGCTAGCTTGAGCTGTGATTGGTTCAGTTGATTGACAAGTAAATTACATGAACGTTTTCGCATTCAATTAAGGTACGCATGGCACATGAACGTTTTCACAGTATATTAACGTATGCACAGTACATGAACGTATACAAAGTACATGAACGTTTACAGAGTACATGAACACAGTACATGAACATATACATAACACATGAGCTTATACAAAGTACATGAACGTATACATGGCACATACATGAACGTTGTCACCGTACATAGACATATTTGAAATGCATAAACGTATACACAGTACATGAACGTACTCACAGTACGCAAACGTATTCAGAGCATATGGACTTATTCACAAAACATAAACGTATTCACAATACATGGTCGTATTCACATTCCGTTAGACATGAGAAGTGGTGCAAAATAGAAAAACATGTACGCCTTCATTAATATCTCAATGAGTAGAGCACCAATACAAGTACAGTAGCAAGTACAATAGTACCATACAATATATATATATATATATATATATATATATATTTATACAATATATATAAATATATATACATACATACATACAGACATACATACATACATACATACATACATACATACATAAATACATACATATATACATACATACATACACGCATACACACACATACACACACATACATACATACATAAATACATACATACATATATACATACATACATACACGCATACACACACATACATACATACATACATACACACACACATATATATATATATATAATAATATAGTTATTCTCAANAATATATATATATATATATATATATATANATAGTATATCNATATATATATATATATAC